CTCAGATTCTCCAGCATCGGCAGTTCCTACTATCTCTTTCCTGAAAATAGACTTTTAGATTCACAAAGTAGATTTTTAGATCTACCGGGATAGGGTTATGAAGTTTTAAATGTTCCCCACAATACTTTTCAACAACTGCATCTTATATTGTGTAATAGATATTAGTTTGAATGACCAGAAACAATGTCAAAAGTGAAAGTGTCAAAGTCAATGTTCAAAAAATAATCAGAATTGCGATAATCTCCGAGGGAATGAATTCAACGTTACAATTCCTCACATTCTGGATTCAGGTTTCAAACAGATAGCAGGAAGAAATTATAGAACAGGATGCAGGCACCTTCCAAAAGGGAGGGAGACAAAGTCATTCACAATTCTTTCCTCATGCCTTCTCAATACATCAATAGAAAGAGTACAGGTAAGGAGACATGTTTCCTGTCAGCATCCATCCAGAGAGTGGCTTTATATCCAAAGCTAGCAGCGCACCACCATCTCCTCAAAGAGGACTAGGGACGGGCAATAAAATTCCTGCCCAGCCAGCGATGAGCACGCCCCACAAGTGAATTTTTTTAAAAAAGTACCCAAATAAAGTAAGGAAGCAAATTTCAAATGGGGGCCCTTCTGGAAATAAAAGGCAAGGATTCAGAGGAAAACATCGCTGAAATAAACATTTCACTGCCTGAAGGATTTTTTTCAAAAGGGAGAATGTGTACTCTGGAAAAATGTTACAAATACAAACATCAACAGATTGGCAGTGAAAAATCAATGAACTCACTTAGCTCCGAAATGCTACCAACACACGTTGCCAGTAGGGACTGCTCCAGGGTTCGAAGCTCCAGTTGAGCGTATGCGTCAGCACGTCCATCTTTTGTCAACAATCCGTTGTTATATAAACTGAAGTGGGCAGGCAGGGAAAGCACACCTACAAAACAGTGGAGCATCAGGTCAGTAACACGTCCATGCACTCACCTGTAAATATCCACCTCCTCGTTGCATTCCTTTGTGATGTGAATTATAGTCTGAATTCCCCTTTAGAATGAATCTCTTTCTATTTACAATGACTTTGCTTGCCTTACCAGGCAGTTCTGCCTGCACCAATGCCTGTGGTTGACACGAAGATATTTAGTAACTCGGTGATCTCATGTTGACACCTCTTGTTTATCATAAACTCCTTATCAAACTGGCACAAGTTCAAATGTCATTTGTAGTGTTCATCTCGCAAAGTGCATACAACTCCCTGTTCTTCCAGGTCACCAATAAGCAATATCATTTCTACTTGTCTTAATTAAAAAGATTCTCAAAGATTTTGACTGCCATATAAAATAACAGCTACAAAAATTATTTGAAGTAGTGCTTAATAACATTATGTAATGCCTGCTTATTCGGTATTTGGTTTGTGAATGTTATGTTTTGTCAGCCGTGGAGTATTTTCATCAAGTGATCTTCTCCAAGTACTTTCTTCTTTCATCTCCCTCAGAGAACCTACACAACCTGAAGGAAATGTCAGTCAGATTTACCAAACAGGAGGCTGTAAACTGTATAAAAGTTTGGCATTTTCACTGGCCTCCAAATATGGTGCCTTTGCCTGATCAGCTGGTAGCACAAAATGGACCGTGGTTCCGTCTAACAGGAACGTGAGCCACTTTGTACCACAGGGTGCTGAACTGTGACGTTGGCAACCGCTATCTCAGATAAGTGGATTCCATAGTAACATGTGCGTTTTGGAGTTTAGATCCCATACAGGCCAGCTGCTGAGATAATGAAAGCCACAGAAGCCAGTGTGCATACTGAAAATGTGCTGTTAAGAATCAGCTGTGATGTCAACTAATTTAAAACAAACTGATGGGAGACTAAATCTTGACATACAAGCCAATCATAGCCTTTTTTTAAAATTTTCTTCATAATTCACTAACCTTTCCATAAGGTTTTATGCCCTTTTATTGAAGATGTTCCTTTGCCCTGGACCATTACTGGTATCAGGCACAATCGAGAGACATCTGGAAGACCATGATATAGGAGCAGAATTCTGCCCATTGAATTACAGAGCTGACTCGATCATGGCTGACGTCCTTCTCAACCCCATTCTCCTGCCTTTCCCTACATAACCCTTGATCCCTTTACAGATCAGAAACCTATCCACCTCGGTCTTAAATACACTCAATAATTTGGCCTCCACAGCATTCTGTAGCACCGAGTTCCACAGATTCCCCATCCTCTGGCTGAAGAAATTCCTTGTCTCAGTTCTAAAGGCCATCCCTTCATTCTGAGACTGTGTTCTCAGGTCCTAGTGATGGAAACATCTTCCCCACATTCACTCCATTCAGGCCTCTCAGTATTTTGTAAGTTTAAATCAGATCCCACCCCCCCTCATCATTCTATATTCCATTCAGTAAAGATCCAGAGTCCTCAACCAATCTTCATACAACAATCTCTTCATCACTGGGATCATTCTTGTGAATTTCTTCTGAGCCTCTTCCAATACCAGCACATCCATCCTTACATAAGCGCCCAAAACTGCTCATAATATTCCAAATGCAGTCTGACCAGAGACTTAGTTAGCCTCTGCAGTTCATTTCTGTTCTTATATTACAGCCTTCTTGAATGAATGCCAACATTGCATTTGCCTTTCTAACTGCTAACTGAATCTGCATGTTAAGAGCAATCTGAACTAGGACTCCCAGGTCCCCTTGTGTTTCAGATTTTTGAAGCCTTTCCCTGTTTAGAAAATAGTCTATGCCTCTTTTCTTCCTACCAAAGCGCTAAATCTCACGCTTTCCCACATGGTATTCCAACTGCTATTTCTTTGCCCACAGTCCTAACCTGTCCAAATACTTCTGGAGCCTCCCCATTTCCTAAACACTAACCTGCCCCTCCACCTATCTTTGTGTCATCTACAAACTTAGCAAACAATGCCCTCAGTTCCTTCATCCAGATCACTAATGTTTAATGTGAATCATTGTGGTCTCAATTGGGCAGGACTCCAATATCCACCTGCTGCCATCCTGACAAGACCCCTTTATCCCCATTCTCTGCCTTCTGCCAGTCAGCCAATCCTCTATCCATGCTCCTAACACCACGGTTCTTATCATATTTAGCAGTTTCCTGTGCTGCATCTTGTCACAGGCCTTCTGGAAATCCAAATAGATCATATCCATTGGCTCTCTTTGCTTGTTACCTACTCAGAGAATTCTAATTGATTTGTCAGGCATGACCTCCCCTTGATGAAGCCATGCTGAGTCAGCACTATTTTATCACACACTTCCAAGTACTCCATAATCTCATCCTTAATAGTGGACTCTAACATCTTATCAGCAAGAGAGGTCAGGCTAACCAGCCTATAGTTTCCTGTCTTCTTCCTCCCTCCCTTCTTAAACAGGGGTGTTACATCAGCCATTTTCCATGCTTCTGAGACCCTTCCTGACTCCAATAATTCCTGAAATGTCATCTCCAGTGCCTCCACAATACCCTCAGCTATCTCCTTCAGAATTCTTCAGTGTAGTCCATCTGGTCCAGGATATTTGTCCATCTGGTCCAGGATATTTATCCACCTGCAGACCTTTCAGTTTCCCCATCACCTTTTCCTTAGTAATGGCACAACAATCATCTCTACTTCCGACTCTCGAAGTTCTGGTGTGCTGCTGGCTGTGAAAACAGATACAAAGTATCTCTGCCATTTCTGCCCTCCCCCACTTCTGAAGAAGGGTCCAGACTCAAAACGTCAGCTTTCCTGCTCCTCTGATGCTGCCTGGCCTGCTGTGTTCATCCAGCTCTACACCTTATCTCAGACTCCAGCATCGGCAGTTCCTACTATCTCTGCCATTTCTTTGTTCTCATTACTACTGCTCCAGCCTCATTTTCCAGTGGTCCAATGTCCACTCTTGCCCCTCTCTTAGCTTTTATGTATCTGAAACAAAATTCTTGCAATCTTCTTTTATATTACTGGCTAGCTTACCCTCATATATCATCCCCCTCCTTATTGCTTTATTCTTTGAAATCTAGCAGAAGATAAAGTCCTCGCAATCCTGTGGCTTCTCACTAATCTTCACCACATTGTATGCTTTTTCTTTTGCTTTTATGCTGTCCCTGACTTCCCTTGTCTGCTACGATTGCATCTTAGTATGCATCTTCTTCCTTGAGTTGACTTTCTGCTGTACCTCTGAATTACCCCCAGAAACCCCTGCCATTGCTGCTCCATTGTCTTCCCTGCTAGGCTCCCCTTCCAATCTACTCTGGCCAGCTTCTCAGTCATGTGTTTGTGGTTACCTTTATTCAATTGTAACACCATTACAAAAGGAAACCAGAATGTCTGATAGATTTTGATTAGCACAGGAGGAGTGACAGATATTCTGTGCTTATCTACTAGGAACCTCCTCAATACAGGGATGGATAGGGTCTTGATCAGTAAGGGGATCAAGGGTTACAGGGAAAAGTCAGGGGAAGGGTTTGAGAGACATATCAGCTATGATCCAATAGTAGATTGATGGGCTGAATGGTCTAATTCAGCTCTTATATCTTACGGTCTAAGCAAGAAGCAGTAGACATTTTTGCACCAATCAAATCTGTGAATATCTCATGAACCATGAGGCTGATGTTTCCAATCAGGCTCTGTTCTGCTCTGAGTGGCATTGTGCAAGTGCAATGAACAACCAGGCTATCCTCACTGACTGGCATTTGTACCCGTGCGATCACAATTGCAACTTCTGGCACACCAAGTGTTCATGAACAATTGTTTTCACAGGATACAAGTCAGCAACTGCAGACAGCACTGTTGTCTCCTGCTACAAGGTCAAATGAGGCTAACATAACCACAGGTTGGGGAATCCAGGGACAGCAATGATCCACGCTATAGCTTGAAATGTGGTTTCATATCTCTGCAATTATGCTCCATTACGAAACCAGGGAATGCTGCTGTACGATGGCGCACTTAGTTTTGCCTCGGTGTTGCTTTACAAATATGGTTCAAACCGTTAATCTGTGATAATACTTACTTATGGAGACACTTGATATTCAAGTACTAAAATTTATTATTTAGACAGATCTCTAGTTGCTTTGGGGCAATTACATGCATTACGGCCTTTGAGAAATCCAACGTTTCTGACATGTAACCTCCATTTAAGAGTTAATAAGACACCATGTTCATTTCAGCTGCTGAGTAAAAGCTGTGCAGGCACTATTTTTGCATTAATTACCTTTCCTGTCCACTGCTGAACACTAGTTAATCTGACTTTGAAATAACTTGTACTATTAGGACTGCTTTGTCCGTTCAAACCAGAACAGAAATGACATCTAGTCTGGTGAGAAAGTAACGAGGCAAGTGAAATCAAAAGCTTGAATGTACAGGAAAAGTCAAAATTATTAGTGAAATTTTTAAAAAAGGGTAAACTTGTCTGCTGCTGCATCTTTTTGTTCCTCCTTGATGTGCTTTTTTAAAAAGACTGCTAAAAACTCCAAACCTATCTGTTTTAGAATGCTTATCTACATGTTACAGCCAGCCAGAGGCTGTGGTTTTTCAGTGTGTAAATCTAAAGATGGTCGTGGTAAAACTTATGGAGACCCTTTTAATAAGAGCATAAATATGGTGCATCATAACTATTAAATTCACAGTATTATTTTAATCTGACAGTTTCAAGAACTGGAAATCAATGCAGCAATCATTTCTGTGTGATTGAGGTTTTTGGTAGACTCATTTGTAACAAATTATTAAATACAGCTGAAAAGACCTTAGAAGTTCAGTTTACCAATAAAGAGATGTATGGAGAACAAGAGTGGCTTTTCATGAACTTATCCAGAATAATTAGTGATGTCGGAGCTTTATAAATGGAATGCAAGACTGTAAACCGGAAAAACTTAATGTCAAACATGTGGGAATTAGTTATCATTAAAGGGAGACGAGTTACAGCTGCAGCGTGGATGGGAGCAGAG